AGTTTCTGACATAACCAGCTATCAGAGCAACATGTCATGTGTTCCAAATTTGATTTCTGAATCTGAACACCCTTAGCAGCAGTGTTAGATTTCATCAATATATACGTGTAAGTTATTCATCCCCGCAGTTTCCACTGTTTGGGGATTACAGAACGTGATTGAAGCATGTAGAAGTGGGTCTTTCATTCCTGCAGTTTCCACTGTTCGGGAATTACAGAACTAGATTGAAGCTACGTGCTGAACACAATGGACCATGATATGCAGACACATGACAAAAAAGGGAACTTCACATCCAAATGGGGCGATTCCCAGTTGAAGGCGTTTGGGTGGCTTTTTTGTCTCTATGCTTATAACATCTTCCTCCTCGTCTCACTCTTAACTTCCAAGATGCTTGTGGGGTATGTTGATGCATCAGAGCCAGCAACCCTGTCTGATTGGTACCTTTCTTGATCCAAAAGTCATACATGCAGCAGGAAAGCATCTCAGAGGTAATCTTCCATTGTTAAAAAGGATGTCATTATCATGCCCCCATCAAGTGCGACTTCATGATAAGAATCACCAATCATGGGTACGACAACAACTATAAGAAGGGATTTTCAACTTATGGAAGCTGCAGTAGAGCTGTATTAACTGGATCATTCGCAATAAGGAAAGGGGGAAATACAAATTAAAAGAGAAACTTGCCTCTGTCCTAGGTCCCGTGTGAGATGTTTGTGTTTCCATTTTAATCCAGAAGGTATCAAATTAGAAAAAATGCAGAAAAAAGAAAAAGAATGAAGATGGTGTTAAAAGAATTTACATGAACAAAATTTATGCGCATGCATGATTGACCATATGTATGTGTGGGTGTGTTTATAAGAGAAAGAGGAACAACTTATACATATCAGCAGTTCGATCAAACAATGTTGCTGATTTCAGTAAGACTCTCAGCAATAAGAGGGGAAGGGGGAGACGGGGGGGAACTAGAATGTTGGTAGAATACAAATATATTAAGCTACAACATTCCTGAGAAATGGTCACTCCAAAAAAAATGCAAACAAGAATATCAAACCCGAAAATGCCGATAAAGATAGAGAGGATCATGTACTGTACAACAACTGAACTCAGCTCTGAAGCCAATAATTGCAATGTGCAGCATGTAGATTACTTAGATTTTTTAGCTGGGAAAACCACAGTGACACCAATACAAAAGATGAGGACCTTTTCGAGGTAGATACCTGAAGTATGACCTACCACAACCTTTAGTAAATTATCCAGTCCTCGTGGAGTCCTTGATATGTATTTCCACCTGACAGTGACAGCTTTCAACCAAAATGTGCTCTTGTCCTGCCAGTAATGGTGGCACCACCCTCACACCAAATACCTCGTAAAATAATTGTACATGTAATGTATAGTACACTATGGGATTAGTCTACATAGACAGAAGTGAACGTGTACATGGATTTGATTACCTTCAGATGTCTGGCCTGATTGATTATATGTGTCCATTTGCATATGAATATGTTTGCATGCTTCTCAATAAAAAATATCATCAGATTTAGGACAGATATGGTATACTTATCCACCTCAACAATGAATAGCAAACATTGATCCATGGATACTTTAATCTTGCACGGATTCAAGCTGCTATGCACCTACTCCAACAACGCGTGTAATGAAGGGCAGAGGTAATACCATGAAATCAAGGGTCTATGAACCATTCTCCAATTTGTCCACTTGATTTGATCGTGACAGTGAATAGCCAACCAAAATCTTGTATCTTTCTACTTGTTTCTCTCTACTTACATCTGGTACAGACCCTTCTAGCAACCACTGGCTTATTACTTGCTAGCAGTGATGACGCAAAGATCCTGGATGTTTTGCTCTTTAACAATCCTATCTCATCCTTTAAGTCCCATTCCCCTTGTTCATCGAAATCCATCTCCATACATGCCTCCTACGAAAACCAAAGCATTTTGACACCGAGCTCTTCAAAGCGAGAACAAAATGAAGGTAAGTCTCCCCTCTATTAGATTCTTACAATAGCATAAATGTTTCGAATCCTGCTAAAACTCACCTCTTACTGTTGTTATTGCAGTTACTAGGATGGATGCTGCATAAGTTACGGCAAAGTAATATTGAACCTTTCAAGGATTTCACAATTGGTATTCCAACCTCTCTCATTCACAACTAATTTCTACAAACAATCCCCAGGTCATAAGTCACAGGAAAATCACCATTAGATTGGATCAGCACAGCTGAATACCATAATCAACTCACCTGCTCAGCACAAAATAAAGCATTAGCCATTAGAATACATTGCACTCAACTCGTCAGAGTTGTTTAAAGTTCAGAACAGAGAGTTTATAAACCAAAACAGAGGTTAAAAATTCAGGTTCCTTAGACTATCAAAACTAGGTCTATGTGGTCACAGCCATGTAGCTGAGGGTCAGAATCATCTTGCCTTATCATATTTTCTAATACAGCAGCCACCTTATGAGCTGGGGCCTCCCATCTTCATGGTCTCCGGACTATCTGATCTCTCTTCATAGCACAACAGTTAAACTAATTATATCAAAATTACTACGGGAATCAGTCACTCTCAATACAACCATGTTCACCACTAAGGCAAGGCAACCGCTGGCTTGGTCCACATTACCCTTGAAGTGCTTACTGATACGTACTGCTTAAGCACAACATGAAGTCCTTTCTCTGCAACTGTGTCTGATGATGTTATCTTTAAACTCTGATTTCAGGGAACTACTGTACCTGTCTTTCGGCTCACTCATCCCTCAATGATCAAGACTCCAATCCAAAATCAGCCTCTGGCCACGGACATGGATCCAGATTTTCAACCCTGTCCCAACAGGGAAGTGAGAACTCCTTCACAGAATTTGAAGCCAAGGGAGTAGAAGAAAACTTTGGAGATGAAGCATCTACTGTCATCTCGGGGCTGTTCAATGGCTTTCTCACCATTGGAACTCTGGGCTCCGAACTGATTATCAGCGAACCTGAAACGCCAACATTCGCCATGTCTTTGGAGAATTCTGAGGAAAAAGCAGAGGTCACAGAAAATGATTTGAAGATCATCAATGATGAACTGGAGAAATTCCTTGAGGCAGAAGCTGAAGAACATGGGTCCAATGAGTCATCAGGAAGGAACAGTCAGGTTAGCACGATTACACTTAGTGGTAAACCAATGCAGGAAGCCAATGCTAAAGAATATGGGAAAACAATCGTATGTCCACTCCAAGGATATCTGTTTGGGTCTTCAATTGAACTTCCAGAAGCAAGATTTGAGGTGAAGAAGGAAAAGGCATCACTTGCAGAACTGTTCTACAGGGCAAAAATAGCAGAAGAGAGTCCCACGGAAAAATGTGGGAAAGAGGAGATGCAGACCAAGCAAACAAATAAACCTGTCAAACATCTCATCAAGAAAATTCTGAAAAAGCTTCATGCTTCTTCAGGGAGTTCTACTTCTAAAGAAACCAATTCTGTTTCAACCAAGAAAAAACTCCACAAGGTGCGTCTTCTGGGGTCAGATTTTTCTAACAATTTTTAAGTATGTGCAGCTTATCTAATACCTTTCCCTGTTTAAGAACAAGGACCTAAAAAATGCAGAATCTAATGGTGGTATCCCACCTTCTGAAAACACAAATATTTTGTGGCATAGAATTTGGTCCAAAAAGGTCAACAATAATTAAAAAGAGTGCCAGGAGCAAATCATCTATGCCATCATTCTCAAGCCTGAGATTATAAACCATTCACTGAACAAAGAGTCAAACATTGCCAAGTCAGATCATTTGAGTCCTACAGGCTAGAAGTCAACAACATGATCAGGTGTCATTACATTTTCTAGGATAGTCTCTATCGGATGAAATTTCTTACCAAAATTGTCAATAATTTACCAGGCAGGGAACATTTAGATTTTGCCCTTTTAAATAATATATTCTATATACAGTAAGCTTCCTCTATAAATAAATAAAAGAAGACCAAATATTCAACATCTCAAACTTTTATAACTATCAAATACGAAACACCACCAAGGAAATGTAAACTGAACTAGTTTAATCACTGAAAAACAGAAATTAACCACACTAACATGACATATCGACATTTGTTTATTTTGGTGCATATTCCACTAAAACTACTTATTATATAATTTCAACATTCTAAGTACTTCATCTCTTTCATGGCAATCAACATGGTCAAGTAATAAGTCTGTTTCTCCTCTTGCCCGTTTTCATTTCACTTTTATTTTGTTTGACATCAAAGGTTTCTTTATTCCTGCACCCAAAAAAATAAGAGGTTTTCTATTAGATTCTCTATAAGTCTCCATCCATCTCTCCGCTTGTATCCTAAATGACAGCAGATCCAGAATTTTTAGATGGTCATTAAGCCTTTTGCAAACCTTGATAAAAGTTCTTAGATAGTGAGTTAGCACATCAAACTGCATGATCCTTCATATTAACGATTCTAATGCATAGGGTAACAAGTTTTCTGCAGGAAATCAGGAGCTCTAATTTTCAACCACTGTCGCTTGCAGGTCATAAAACTATTCCACAGAAAAATACATCCTGAAAGCTCTATAGCTGAAAGACAGTCTAAAAATTTACATACAGATAAGATGAATAATGCTCCTTATGATGATGGTGAGTATACTGATGGACAGCAGGTGCAACAAGGTAAAGGCCACAGGAGGCTTCCTCAGGGATCATGGTCAAAGGAAGGAACACAAAATTACAAGACTATCTCAAAACTGCCTCAATACGGACTCACTGGCTTTACTGCAGGTGCAAATGGGGAGCACTGGATTAAAACAGATGCAGACTGTAAGTAAAATGCACCCCCTGAAAATGATATGCTTTCGGTATAAATTCCAACCATCATGTCCATTCAAATGAGTAACACCCAACATACATATCTTCGCATTTAGTTACCATGCATTATTTGACTTATCAATTCCAACGTACAATCAATGAGTAGTTAAACCAAAAATAGTAATCATGTTACGTAGGAAATGTAAAAGAAACAAAATGAATTACCATAAAAAATGATGCAGGACAAGTATTTTCCTTGAATATAATACAACTAAACTTGGATACACCATCAGAATTGACGTTCACAATTAGCAAATGAATAGGTGATATTTTGACATAATCAGAAATATATTCCTAGACCAATACAAACTGCATTGAGCTTTGCGATCATTTAGTTCAGTGATTTGTTTTTCTAATATATAAATGTCTGACCATCTTCTTTTGCTGCTGCTGTTGGGTTGTAGACTTGGTGTTGGAGCTGTAGTGAAGAAACTGCAAGAAATTCTTATTAATAGCTTTTGTCCTTTGCAGTAAAACTCCAATCTTTTGGCTTCATAATATCAACTGTGTTGTAATGTGTTTGCTAGTAAGTAGTGATGAACTCAATAGAAAAAGAAGACTATTAGGAGGAATCCATCTTATCCTCCTGCGTGTGATAATAAAGTTGTGCACTGCTTTCTTGTAGTCTTCCTAATCCGAACATCTGTTTATGATCACTCGTAAGTCTTGTCTCATTTGAGCTCTTGAGCATATTCTGGTCCACAAGCAAAGCACTTCAAAAAACTCCATAATTGAGCTACAACAATACCTGAATCCACTCTAAAGACTTGGGAAAGCGAGAGAAGGATTATCAAACCTCAAAGAAAGAAATGTCGACAAAGCAGGCATTGTCCTAAACTAAACCTATAGGCACTCTTCCCTCAAAACTCCACCCATTTCCATCCTCCAAGATCGATCAACTAAATCTTGTAGCTCTCTGCAAGACAAACCAAAATGCTCCATAAGCTGGAAAGTATTAGCACATGCAATCAAAGGAGAATTTGAAACAACAAAGTTCAATTTATTGGGTCTTAAATCTCATCAATGAGAGCATGAAAGGGTTTAGGTTCAACATAGATCAGTTTGGTTTGGCTGAGTTGTACAAGCATTGCACTACCCATCATTATGAAAGAACTGTTAGAAGACAACATTTAAAAACAAGGCCATGAAGGTTTACCCGATTCTTTTTTAACCAATTAAGATAACATAACCTGTACATTTTACAGTGAATGTAACATCCTAATGGAAATAAAAAAGAAAAGATAAAGACTTACTTGAGATCATGACTGACAACAAGTATAGTTAATTCTTTCTTCAGATGCTGCAAAAGCTTCACAACATCAACACGCGCCTTCCAATCTGATTTTACAGTAGCATTCGCAATAATAACATTTAGAAGGTAAATAAATCTGAAAATTAGCTATTCAAATCATGTCAAAGCCAACTCAAGCAGCAAAAAGTTGCTTTCAACTCATACTTTTTGCCTATCAACAGCAAAATGTATTTCAAAGCACTCGATCAGTCAAGCTCTATTTAGGAACTCTAGTTTCTAAACTATAATGTAAAACACAAGATAATCAGAAATGTAAGAAAAACAGAGTAGGAAAAGCAATGTCATACCAAGACCAGCGAGAGGCTCATCCAATATCAATACGTCAGGAACTTGTGCCTACAGCCATCACACAATGAAAAAGAACAAAGGGAAAAAAGAAACATTAAGTGGGCAAAAAATCATGTCATATTATAAATAATCACAAAAGAATTGACATCGTAAATCGTCTTTGTTAAAAATTTAATTGCAGATTGCGAATTACTCTGAAGGTCCTAACCAATTGAATTGCCAGAGCAAGTCGGCGTTTGTAGCCACCACTTAATGAATGAGGATCTTTATCCAGGGAAATCCCATTCAATCCAACCTAACATCATCAATTTAAAGAAATTATCTAAGATTTCACAGAGATGAATATTTTTAGAACCAATACCCACAATAGGTGAGAGGGAAAATTTAAGGGCCACAAGTAGATAAAAATGCTTTGATCATGCATACCCAATTAAAAGCTCTTTGGAGATTTAATGCAAGATGCTCCTTCACTTGAAGCCCACTCCTTTGCCTTGGCCAGCCAAATGTAACTTCATCAAGCACATTGTCTGCCACAAAATACCTAGCCAGCAACAGAACATGAAATATTGTTTAGAACTTAACAGACTTTAACCGAAATGAGCACAAACCAAACTAGAGTTATGCAAACAAGAGACCACAAGAATTAGACTTATAACAGAACTCAACTAGCTATATTCAAGTTGCATGATATATAAATAGATGAATCCAAAATTCTACTTGGTCTTAAACAAGTCAAAGACTAAGTGCCTATTTGGTCCGGCTTTTTTTTACCTTATCTACTTGTTAAAGCAGAAGCCAGCCCAAACAAGATTTTTGAGAAGTTCTTAAAAAAAAAAAAACAGCTCTTTTCAAAGAACAAAATATTTTTTAAAAAAAAGCTTAAAGAAAAGCTCCAGAAAGGAGCTTTCTCTTCTCCTTTTCTAAAAGTACGCTAACTTTTCAGTAGATACTCCTTTCTCTCAATCATTCTCCCTTTCTTCTCCCTCCCTTTGCAAATCACCCTTCCCCAATGCAAAATCGCAATCTCCCTCTCTCTCTACAAAGACTACTTAAAAAAAAAAACAAAAGACCCAGCAACAGAGTAACAAAATCTAGGATTTTTTGTTCTTACAAAAATTAAAAGAAAAGAAAACCCAAAATTCAAAACTGTACTATTTAAAAGTTTTCTTTCTTCTTCACAAAAAAATCTAATACTATTACTACTATACAAGTTTGAGAGTTATTTCAATTTTTATGGATTTTTTTTATTTTAACATTTGAAATCGTATATAAATTCGAACCAGACTTGTTCCGCTTTAGTCTATTAGGTGATTGATGATGGCATGAATACTCTTTATGGTAATTTTAACCAAAATTAGAGCTTATATAATTTATTTTGCCAAACAACTTACCAAACAACTTTAGCTTAATTTTAATAGCTATTATTTTTCATAAGAGCTTTATAATAGCTTTTCAGCTAAAAAAAAAGCTAGGCCAAACAGGCTCCAAGCAAATAAAAAGAGCTAAAATGAGCCATGTTGCTTAATTGGCAGTAAAAAATTGCAATAATAACAAAAGCAAGAGTTTCCATCAACATGATAGAAAACCAGAAAAAACAAATATGCATGTGAGATATCGATGTAAGATTCTACAAACATACCGACTTCATAATACCTAAAAGGTCCAGAAAAAACATGCAAAAGCAGACCTAGAGAGCCTAAAGGAAAGTGACATTGTAACAAGAATGCAGCCATCAAGAGATCGAAAATCCCATCAAGCAAACAAAGACAAGAAAATTTGTTCATTTGTTATCGGGTACCTCTCTGGGAACTGGAAGACAATACCAACTCTTTCTGGAACTAATAATTTTGGAGACTGATTTGGGTTGCCTTCATTTGTGTATCTCTGGATACAAATAGAACCTGATGTTGGTTTGCTAAGCCCTGCAAGAAGCTGAAAGGAGAAGGAAAAATAAGTAGATGTACAAGGTATATGGTAACAAACAGGCATGACCAAAACACGATATATGGTAGACCTGCAAGAGAGTAGTTTTCCCGCTTCCACTCTGTCCAAAAATTAAGCCAAAACTGCAGCAATGCACACAAACCATTTAATTCTCAAAGTCAGCTTTGAAGCATGCACAAGCAATCAATGACAAGACTTTACGCCTGCTTCCTAATGGTATAATTAGTAAAATACGCTTAGAAATTGTGACAAGATATTCAATGTCTCATGTTCTGTTCTCATATGATTCTTCAGAGCTTGCAATCCTAAGAGTAAAAACTATGCAAAACTAATTTGGAGGAAAACCCAAACAATAAAAATGGTCAATTTTCCATTATTTACAATTAAAGCATGTACCTTTTCTCTGGAAGTGAAAAGCTAACTCCATTCAAAAGGTTAATCTGCGTCCCTGGAGGTCTATAATAAACATCCTTCACCTTGAAATGACAAGATGATACCGTTTCAGCAAATTCCATCACTCTTTCGATACCACCATTCAATCAAAAGACAGAATCCCACTGATAAAAACACAAAAATGCATCCATCTGCTAAACTACAACAGCTATAAAGAGAAATTTAATCGTCGTATTCACTAAATTCATTCCCCAAACATGTGTAAGCTACAGCTGTAATTAGCAATATTATTCTAATAAAAACTGACAAATTAAAACAGCAAAAAAAAAAAGTAAATTCCTCAAAATCATAATTTGAATATAAATATAAATTAAAAATAAGGATGAAAAAACCCCGTACTTCCAAGCAAGAGTAATCACATGAGATTTTAACAGGTGGAGTTCTCTTGGAGTTCAACCTGAAAAAAAATTGAACTTTAATCAAAATTTTTTCTTTTTCTTTTTTTTTTTAAAAAAAAAAGATTTCTTTCATTAAGCTGATTAAGAAGCTTACTTGGAGCGTGATTTCGAGGAAATTAAGGTTAATGGTTCGTTAATTCTCGAACCGAACAAAGAGGAAGCTGAGAAAGCAGAAGCCGCCATGTTTAGGTGTGGATAAGTTTGACTAATTAAGGCTCAAAGTCAATATCAACATTATCGAAATGAGAGAGGTGGAGGATGACGCGGAGGAGAAAGAGGGAAATACGGTGGTTGGTGGCCGTACAGGCTGTGGCGGGAGTGGAGGAGGATGAGGTTTTTTTTTTTTTGTTTTTTCCCTCTGTTAATTTTTTTTTGGTGGATTTAGTCGAGTGTTAATTGGGCCTGGGCCCCGCAAGCCCAAAACCCATTTTAGGGCAAGTTGGAAAATAAATGGAAAGAAAAAACAATAGTAATTTCTTATCCATGACTAAAAGAAAATTTTTAATATTTTTTTAAATTAAAAAAATTATTCTTTTAAGGTTTAGGGATTCGAATCCTATTTTTTAGAGTAAGGGAGATCATGTACTAATCAATAGGTCAAATGTTTGAGTGTAAATTTATTCTTTAAAGTTGTTTAGATGTTAAATTTATTTAAACTTTAAAACAATCAAATTATTTATTTTTTATTTTCTCTTTTTACAAAAATTTTGTTTTCCTCCGTTATTTTTAAAAAAATTCATAATGCAAAGATTTTTCTTCTCAACAGTTGTCACTTTGAATTACCTAAAAAATTTCGATTTTTACATTTTAAATAAAAAGATACTTCATACATCTACCATTTGAGTTGAATATGCAAACTTATCTTTTAACACATTATTTAATAAAATTATATAATATATACTTTATTAATTTTCATGTACACGAATATCTCTCGAAAGTTAATTAATAATTTTAATAAAAAAATAAATATAAACTGATTTTCAACAAAGTGTCATGGACAATATTTGAAGATGATAGCAATACAAAAATAAAAAATTGGTACCTTTCAACTTCTTAATTAGATTTAACATTCAACATAGGGGACCATTAATTTAATAATTTTAAATAAATCACAACTTAGAATTTAATGATTTCTAAAAATAGCTTGATTGAATTGTCAAAAAGTTTTTCCATATAAGCTGAGAACTAAATTAGGTATGGAATCAAAGACATGCTTAGTGTTATTAATTCATATTTTCAACCGAAACACTTTTATGTTAGGTAGAGGAAAATCTTTATTTATAATCTCATGACTTATTCATCTTTTACTGATGTGAAGTTCGTGATAGTCTAATCTATACAATTGTACAATACCCTCGTTATAGTAGCTCTTCTCCTTATAAAGGAAAGGGATTGCATTTTGATTCAAGTCTACTTAAACAATCAACTCTGATATCTCTCGTGGAGTCCCACATCAAAGATTTAAATTTATTTTAATATCATATGATTACATTTTCAATAAAAAAATACATGTTAAATAGAAAAAGATATTTATTTATAAATTAAAACCCTATCCAACTTTTATTGATATAAGATTAATGACATCTAAAACTTATTTGAGGATAATTTTCCTCATTTTGCATTCACGTGAGTGTAATGTAGAGGTATGTAGTGACGGATGAATGTTGATCCTAAGCCTCTTTATGGCTCAATTAAATGATTAATGCTTTTAATGGATGGTGACCATAAAGCCAATGCTTTTAATGGATGCTTTTAATGTATTTTTTTTGAAAAAAATCTTGATCATTGAACTAAAGAGTTATATAAATATTTATATCCAATATAAATAATAAATGAATATTTAGAAAAACTAACTACAACCCCAAACAAATTGTTAAAACCTTAAAAATAATAAAATTTAATAATAAATTAATTATATTGTCGATGTATGAAACTTTTTATAATATTCATAAATTTGGTACACTATTTAATTGAAATCTATAATTTATAATTATTATAATTATAATTTACAGGTTAGAAGCAAGGATCCATGTGCATTACTCTCCATTAGTTATTTCTACAAGGGAAGGATCCGGGTTGGGAGCAATGGGAACAATTGCCCCCACTAAGGTCCTAATCTTCCTTTGATTATATTATGAAAATAGTTATAAAATTTTAACTCCTTTATATTATGCCTCCATTGGAATTAACAAAAAAAAAATATGTATCACATCATTATAATTATAAAAATATCGAAAAGATCAAAGTTATAATTATAATAAAAAAATGACTTACTTTGGAAATATATGGTATAATATGTAAATTTAAATAAAAGTTATAGTTTTATAATTAATTTGATTTTTGATATAATAGAGTGTTGATTTACTATTTGAAATTTTGCATACTGAGATAAAATAATTTGAAATAATCAAAGAATATTTTGAAAAAAAAAAACCAATATCAATTTTGAAGGGAGGTTTTTTAATGAATAATTGTTTGGAGAAAGCATACTTTGAGGTATTGATAATTAAAAAAATTATACAATGCTTTGGATCCATAAAAACGTGTAGAGAACATTATAATGGTATTATCTTTATATAAAATTAAAGCAGTTTATATTACTCTTGAGTTAATATTATATAATGTTATCATGAGCTGTCATTATTAATTTTTAAGAATATTTTAGAGAAAATATTTTCTTATTTCTTTTTACTTTGCTTATACTCCAAGAAAGTCGAGGGTTAGGATACCTCTTTATTTACTATTTTCTTTACTTACACATCAAGTAAGTTTAAATATAATTATTTTACTTGCACGCTAAATAAGTTTAGGTTTAGTTAGTTATTATAAATAGCTCTTTATGTAATTCTTTATGTTTTGATCAAGCAGTTTAATTCCTTGCTTAAATCTTGAATATTTTCTACATGGTATCAAAGAGTTCTAATCCGAAAAGAACTCTCTAATGTGAATCTTGTACTCAAAAATCACCATCAAATTTTTTGTCTTTCTTTTATTCATCTGAAACTACATAAATAGCTCTGAGACTGATTTGTTTATAAAACACAAAAAAAGGAAGGTAACAGTTTTAATTGTATATGTCGATGATATTGTCTTAACGGTAGATGACCCATATGAAATAAAAACGTTACATGAATATTTGCATTCTAAATTTGAAATGAAGAATTTGGGGTAACTTAAATATTTCTTAGGGATTGAGGTTGCAAGATCGAAACAAGAGATTTTCCTTTTGCAATGAAAATTTATGCTAGATCTCTTAATTGAAATCGAAATGCTAGAGATGAATCATAAGCTCAAAAATTTTCCAAATCAAGGTCTAACAAATAAGAGTCATTATTTGTGATTCGTTTGAAGATTAATTTGTTTATAGCACACAAGATTGGATATAGTTTATGCTGTAAGTGTCGTAAGTCAGTTTACGCATGCACCAAGGGAAGAACATATGAATGCAGTATATCGAATCTTAATATACTTGAAGAGTACTCTGGACAAAGGTTTGTTGTTCTCGAAAAATAGTGTCTTTGACATTGAAGGACTTATGGATTCTAATTGGGCAGATGATAACCAGAAGATCCACATCTGGTTATTTTACCTCTATGGAAGGTAATCTTATCACTTGGAAAAGCAAGAAGCAAAACATTGTGGCAAGATCAAGTGCAAAAGTTGAATTTCAAGGTATGACTCGTAGTGTAAGGAAATTATTGTGGATTCGGAGTATTTTCGAAGAGTTAGGAATTGAATATGCAAAACATATGAATTTTTATTGTGATAATATGGTAGCCATTGAAATTACACAAAATCCTATACAACATGATCACACCAAGCATGTTGAAATTGATTGACATTTCATCAAGGAGAACCTCGATAAAAAAATTATACAATTTTCATTTGTTTAGTTTGATGGTCAGTTAGTTGATATTCTCAAGAAAGCAGTTTTAGGGAAAGTGTTCCATGGTATAATTGACAAGTTGGGTATGATTGATATTTATGCGCCAACTTCAGAGAGAGTGTAACCATGAGTTGTAATTATTAATTTTTAGAAATATTTTAAGGAAAATATTTTCCTATTTTTTTTTTATTTTGCTTATACTTCAAGGAAGTCTAAGATTAAAACACTTCCTTATTTACTATTTTCTTTACTTGTATGCCAAGTAAGTTTAAGTATAATTACTTTACTTGTACACAAAGTAGATTTAAGTTTAGTTAGCTATTGTAAATAGCCCCTTATGTAATTCTTTATTTTTTGATGAAGCAGTTTAATTCTTTACTTAGATTTTGGATATTTTCTACGTACAAATTAGTTCGCCCACATTGGATATGATCCATTCACTGTATCTACCAATAACTTGATCAAATTTTAATTTTTTTTGTCATATAAGTTGTGAATAAAAAGATCGAGTTTTTTTTCATTACTTTTTAATATACTTATAATCACTGTTTGCATACATCAAAAGTATTCCGTATACCATTTACATTATTTAAATAAATTTATCACTTCGAATTACCTAAAAAGTAATTAATAAAAATTATTTGGCTTTAAAAATTATGATGTCGTTGGAAATTAAATTTGTAATCTCATGTGTTTTCAAATATATTATTTATTTAAAAAAATATTTTATTTTAACTTTTTAAATAAAAAGGATATTTCATATATACCTTTATCATCAAACTAAATATTCAAATTTATCATTAACCTGATATCTAATAAAAATATATAATATATCGCCCAAAGCTAATAAATCACCCCAACAAAAAAAGAGATAGATATAAACTCATTTTCCATTTTTCTTGCCGCAATAATTGAAGATAATAATGAATGTTGACATTTAACGAATAGGGGACCATTAATTTAATAATTATAGATAAAAAAAATTAAAGCTTAGAAGAAAAGGGATCATCATTCATCCACAGGCATCATTATTTTTAGAATAATTTGATTGAATTGTCAATTTCTTTTTTCATATAAGTTGAGAATAAAGTTAGGTATAGAAAGGACTTTCCTCATTTTGCACCTCGTGAACGTCGATATCGTACCATCTTATTTATAAAATTCATCTCACAAATATAAATTTAAGACAAAATTGATCCGAAACAAAAAATAAATCTAATCTATTTGAATTTGAACCCGATTCAACCCAATTTAATTAAAAAAAATTAAAAATCAGTCTCCGCTCAAGTCAAATTCAAATTGATTTGAATTGCAAGATGAATTGAACTTGAAATAATTTGAACCTGATTCAAACTTAAAATGACTTGAACCTAAATGATTTGAAAAATTAACATAAAATAAAACGATTCCGAATAATTTATTAAAATTCAATCTGATTTCATTTTAAGAAATTCATTCCGACTTGATCTGACCCATCCAATTATTACCTTTAACCAAAACCGATCCTTATAAATTCCAAATGTGAGATTGGAGGCATTATAAATTTGGACCAATTTCATGACATTTTTTAAGTGGTCAATGGTTCTACACACTTGTTTGAACCAAAAGATTAGACTATAAGATCTGACTTATGGATTGATTCTAAACTAATGATTGCATTACACAAAATAAATTAAATATTTACAAATTGTAAGACTTGAACCCATAAAATAAGTTTTTTTTTTTAAAGACCTTGATCATCAAGCTAAAGAGAAAAAAAATTACCAACAACATTAAACGAAAATGTTAAAACTTTGAAAGTAATAAAACCGGACAATGAATGAATTATAATGTCAATGTATGAATTTCATGCACTATTTGATTGTAATTTACAATTATAATAGTTGAATATTATTATTTTAATTATTACTTTTTAAAAAGGCTTATTATAGGGACATATGGATATTGATTTTAAGCCTATATACATATATGTCTCAATTAAATGATTAATTGATTGGTGACCATTAAGCTAATGGCTGATGGTCAACTGTTGGTATGCTTCCGTTATGATTTAAATATAAAGGAAGCTAAACCTAGTCATCTAAATATTGCTATCATATCTTAAATAATAATACTAGTATACATCTCTTTCCTAACACGTTTTAAATACTTCATTTTAACCTATATTATAACTCTGAATTTATTTGTATGTAACTCAAGTACAGTTTAGATTGAAAGATCAGAAATTAATATATGTTTTACGCATGTTGTATAGGTCTTTATACACTATCACTTAATTATAAAATGTTAATAAATGCATAAACAAAAAAAATTCAAAAATCTTTGGAAAATAAATACTTTCTATAATTATAAATATTTATTTTTGAGGGTTCATAACTTTTAAATTTATTTTGTTAATGTGATAATAACATTTGTTTTATTCATAATGTATAAAATTTATACACTGACATTGCATCAAATATAGATTCATATATATTTTAAATTCAAATTATTTAATTATATATATATGTATGTATGTATGTATAAATGTTTCATATAAATTATATGTCTTCTCCAAGTCCATATTTTTTAACTATTAATCTTCACCTTAAGAAATTTGCATATACTTTCTTTTTGGAATATAACCTTATCTCTTTTATAAACCACAAAATTTGATAATATTTTGAGCAAGGATATTTAGGTCCGCAATTTGTTTATTAGTATTAGCTACACATGGTTTGATGAAAGTAGAAGTAGAAACGCAAAGGTACAGCAAGAGAAAATACAAAACTAGTACATACCTAAGATAACAAAAATATCATCATCCCCCTTATGGATTAAGTTTTTCCGTACCCATTGATTAGAAATTTGAGAGAAAAGGGACGACAGGTCTTCCCTAAAATGGCATTTGGTGTTTTACCATTTTAACTTTTCTAATTGCGAAGTATTAAATTGTTGCGAAGATAAGGTTATGTTATTTAATATATATGACTAATAACGATTAAAGGATAAAATATTTTTTAAATTTTAGTCTTCATTTTATGTAAATTTATTAATTTTTAAAATAAATAATAAAAATTAAAAATATAAATATTATTAATAAAACATATAAAAAAATTAATTTTTTTTTCTTCAAAGAATGTGATCGGTTGGCGCGTTCTCATTCACAAGTCGGCCACTTGATGGCCGGTGTTCTCCAGGGGGAGGGGAGCACCCTTGGGATCACTGGTTGGTGCTCCCCTCTCTTGGCTTGAAATTCTTTTTGTAAAGAAAATAAAAAATATAATTTATATAATAGTAATTTTTTAAAATTAATAAAAATTAAAAATATTTTTTTATTATCATCATATTATTAAATTAATAAAAAAACAAAAAATTGATTAACAGTTAAGTTTATATATTTGACAAAATATATTTTCTTAAAATAGAATATTTATTTCAAAAATTAATAAATTTCGATTTAAATTTAAAGAGTTTAAATATTTTGCCTATGATTAAAATTTCAAGAAAGTAATTAAACGGTGTGATACCTGTTGTTAAGTATCGAGACTTATAAAAATGAGGATATTGTTGAATATGCTCAAAAAGAGGTGTGGAAACCTTGTGTTGGTGCAACCAACCCATAAAAGCATAGAAAAAGGACTTGACGTGCGTGTGTATGCCAAGGGAATCCCACGTACTTCATACGATAAACCTTCATACGATTCCATGACTCCACCAAGTCTCCCTTTGATTCCACGAAGGAAATCTCGTGGAAAATGGCAAGAAATGTCATGAAAACTTCCCCCAACATTGACCCCCCGACCACGTGACTTTCTTCCTCCATTTCCCACTGTTACTGCCACTTTCTTAACAAATATTGTAGCAATGACATGGGACCAATCTTCCAACAACCTTTTGTGGGATTGGGAAGTTTCGATTCTCTTCAAGCCATCGGAAGTCTAATTCCAATTCCAATTCCAATTCCAATCAAATCACCTTTTCTGAATACAATAATGTTATTGAAACAATTATTTAAACGAATGAACCAAAGATTGGAATATAAAACCATATAATTTAAAGTTTGACTTAACATGATCTATATATATATATATTTTTTAAAGTTATGATTAATTAACCTCCAATAAGTAGAGACACGTGGATGGCTGTTAAAGCATTTTTACTGGGAAACTATCGAACTAAACTCAGCAACTAACAGTTTGGAGGAGCTTGTAGGGACAGCAGGCAAAACTCAAAAGGGACAGGGTTTTTGCTGTTTGCTTTGGTTCCCACTGTTTTCACAAGTCGGCTGCTCTTCCAACAAACATTGGTAAGTGGTAACAACCATTTATTTCTGATATAAAAGCAGCAACCAAAGGGTAGACCACTTTCATAAATATCTCCAAGGAGAGATTCGTTTCTTCAGTAGCAGTATAGGTGAAGAACTGATGGACTTCTTATTTTTTTTTTCTATTTTTTTTCTTTTTTGCTTCGAAGCCTTGGTTTTTCTTTCTGGGTTCTGTTTTAATTTGTTGTTTTTTGATGTTTTCTGGGGTTTTTGGTTGATTGACAGTTGGCTTTTGAGAATGGAGAATCAAGCAAAGAAAGTGCTGCTCACTTCAAATGGAGATGAGATTTCAATGAACATTGCTTTGCATTTAGCCAAACGTGGTTGCAGGTTAAAGCCTCCTACTTTCTTTGAGATTTTAAGTATTGCACGTGTTTGGTTGCCCTGAAAACAAGAATCACGGAAATTCTTGGCCATCCCTATCTCTCCCTTTTTCTCAGCAATGGGTTCTCTTATTGTGATCAGCTTTTTATTTTTTAAGGTGTCAAAGAGTAGAGTAATAGCAAGGAAATAAGAGATGAAAACAGTCGATTTTTCAAAGTTTTAGTTTTTTGGCATTTTATGCTTTGTTCGTTTGAATCGACTGTTCTTTCATAACTCAAGCAAAAATCAATATCCTTTATTCTTTTTTGGTCATTTCATTTGATTATGCTCCCTTCTTGTTGATCAACTAGGCAAAAGTTTAACTAAAGAATGATCTTCGGGCATGTGATTAGGTTGGTTTTGATGGGGAATGAATGCTGTCTGAGGAGTGTCAAAGACAACATAATGGATTCAACAAATAGTGCGGTCCCAGTCGAGGTGGTTGGATTGGATATGGAAGATGAAAGAGAGGGAGCTTTTGATGAGGCAGTAGATAAAGCGTGGAAAGTGTTGGGAAGTTTGGATGCTCTTGTGCATTGTTATGCTTATGAAGGTATATCTATGTAGATCTGCTTTAAATATTGTTTTGGACCCTAATGATATTTTTCTAATTGAAAGTTGAACTGGTCAATTTCCATTTCCTTTTTCGTTGCCAAAGTATCAAATTCTGGTTTTCTTTTTTTGATTTGGTTTTGCATCGAGAAAGTGGGGCAATTCATAACTTCTTTGTCTTATCTATCCCAGACCTTTGATTTTGACCAGATTTTATAGATATAGTAATGGTGGGATGTTATGCCTATATGCTCTTATTGCTTCTGAGCTTTCTTAGCAATGGAAAAAGCAACTTGCAGTATCTTCTGAAAACCCACATATATGAAAATTTTGGTAATTTGAGGCTCTTGCGATATAAACGTCATTTTGAAACATTTGAGAACTTTGTTAATTCATCAACCTACTTCTCTAGCTACCTTAATTTGTCCAATTTATAAATAGGACAAGTGGGCTAGAACTTCAAGGTGCATTGTAATAATCTGTCACATGTCTAATAATTATTTATTTAGAGAAGGTTTTATTTAGTGAATACTAAAGATGATGTAGACCATAAAGTTTATAAATTACCCTGGTCTACCATGGAGAGGAAACAGGGAACCTTTTAAAGAGCTTACCGTGGGACATACAAAAACGTGTTCTCTTTTTATATCAATAAAGAAGAGGAGGCTTCTTATATCTGAAAGTTTTGTCATCATGTTTGTTTTCTTAATTTACTCAAGGTTTGTGTTCAAAAGGTTACATTATATTTGAGTTATAACAGTTTATAAAGTGAAGAATAAGATACGTCTACTTCAATAACTTTGTAAAGGTTGTGAAATTTAGGTTGGAGTGACAGACTCCTTTTGTTTCACTGATTGTATAAAGTTTGGATGGTGATCATTATGCAAGAAAATTTTAAGCTGGAATTATTTAGGAGCTGATGATTTATCTTTTACCAACATTAGTGCTACTTGCTTTTGTAGCCTATGTCAAGAAAAACACCAATATTCCCCATAAATATACTTGCTCTTATGAAAAAAAATTCTTATTTTCCTTTCAACTTGTCTCACTTACATCACTGTGTTCAGGTCTATGTAATACAGTTGGAGAAAAACTAACCATGCTGACTATGTGAAACAGGAAAGATGCAAGACCAACTGCAATTAGCTGAAGAAGAGTTCAGAAAAATAGTAAAAATAAATTTTATGGCTGCATGGTTTCTGCTAAAAGCTGTTGGCAGGAGAATGCAGGATTATAAAATAGGTGGTTCCATTGTATTCTTGACTACAATACTTGGTGCTGAAAGGGGACTTTATCAAGGAGCTGCTGCATATGGTTCATGTTTGGCAGGAGTGCAGCAGTTAGCTAGAGTAAGTAAACTCATTAACTTTCCTTGTAGTCTTTAATGCAGTTACACTCAACTGCCACAATTTGCTATGCCAGTTAACTGTTCTAAAGATAAAAACTGATATTGAGCCTTAAACATTCAAGATTCAGCTCTGTTTCTTGGTGGCTTTTGCTTTTGTGAACATCCTTCTTCTAAAGCAATGTAATCTTCTGGCTAAGAACATTCCCTTTTAAATTAAATAGCACCACCCATTTATACTCTATACTTCAGATCCATAATTATTTAGCCTATTTGCAATATGGCATGACTGTTGCTTCTTTTTGAATATCTTTCCATTTCCAACTTCTGGTTCATAGATTTTGCTCACTAGTAGTATTTTTGTGGACATCTCTCATTGCTGTTGTCAGGTATCAGCTTTGGAGATTGGAAAGTACAAGATCAGGGTTAATGCAATTGCTCGTGGCTTACACTTACAAGATGAATTTCCCATGTCAGTAGGAAAGGACAGGGCGGAGAAGTTGGTCAAAGAAGTAATGCCACTGCACAGATGGCTGGATGTTAAAAATGATCTGGCTTCAACTGTCATTTATTTAATCAGTGATGGTTCCCGCTATATGACTGGAACAACTATATTTGTTGATGGGGCACAGTCTCTGGTTAGGCCTCGTATGCGATCATATATGTAGTTCCTTTTTCTACTATGCAGTCATCCTTTCTAGTATGCTGATGCAGAAACATGCATCAAACCTCTAGGCCTGGGAATGATATATTATTTGTTTCTTTCAATCCTAATAAATGAGGTTTTGCTCTGTATGATTCATTGCAGAGATCTTAAACCTATTCAATTCATCCACTTTTCTGAGTCATACGGGAATTGAAAGATTGTTCAAGCAAAAAAAAAAAAAAAAAAAAAAAAGCCAAAAGAGGAGGGGGAGAGAGAGTTTTGTATGATTGGAAACAATTGTGATAGGAACTGATAACTGAACATGGTAAAAATCATAATAACATGGAGATGTGGAACTGGACATACCTCAGATCAGATAGATGTCATGTCGTTCTTCATTCCCTGCAATTTATAGCGTGAAGGGGAATCCAGGATGGGCTGATATGTTGGTTGACAGCTGCTAACAATGGTGTAAAACATGATCGATTCATCAATTGATTGGTTTTTATTGTGCATGGTAGCTGGGAACCGGGAAGGGGTGATGAATCCCTCTTTAGATGTGACTACAAACTATGAGAATTCGCTTTGGATACTTTGAGATTTGTTTCCTTTGGAAAATGTTTTTGGTGCATATCACATGATAGTTGCCTTACATAAGATTGTTTCAAATACCCCGATTCCACTTTTTGAAGTTTTCATATTAGATTTGTCGGATTAATTCAGTCTCCATGATGGCATTGCCCCTGTATTTGACTTACTAAGCGATCAGGCAAATGTTTCTTGATGAATAAAACAACCCAAAATTAGGCAAAAGATTCTTGATTTTCTTTCTGGCAGTTGATGTTGCCAATAAAGTTATGATATAGGGTCGACGGCAGTCGGCGGATAACCATCTACACACCATCGAATCACTGATTTACTTCCTTTTCATGACAAAAGTTTCTTGACGAATATTCTTTCTTCAGTTTACACGGTGCATTGCTATTCAACAATGGCAGCTGCTTCTTGGAATTCAACACCAATAACAAAAGGACAATCATTCTAAAGAACATTTTCCATAACTTATGATAAATGCAAGTTGAACAGCTTTTAAGGTACGTACCAAGGCTAGTCACTGTTGCCATATTTTCCATAGCCAGTCTTCATTGACTATAGAACACAAGCATTACATTCTCCCAAGAAAGTTCCTCTTTTATTTTTTTTAAAGGTGTTAGAATTTTATTTCATCAAGGATGAAAATAAGAAAAGGGTAATAGTAGTAAAATGATCCAAGATGACAATGTGATAGTCAACTTCTCTATTTCATTCCATAAATCAAACTTGTTGATAAAGAATTGATCTTTGAATTCTCGATTTGACAAAACCATTAGCTAACACATTTATGGAGTGGGGACTCTGCTGAATTTGACATTTGTCCAACTGTAACTTTAGAGTTTCAATGCCAAGGATGTATCTCTTTAGTTTTCATGGCGTTGAATTAAGATTTAAAACTCAGTTCATCACATTAAGAGAATCACTTTTGATCAGCAGAAAATGATTTCGTTGTGGTAATCAAATTTTCGTATATGAAGAGGGCACTTAGGAATTAATTAAGTATTGTTATACTTAAAAGAGAACACTTATCTTGCTACAAAACAATAAAGTTTAAAAGTTAAATTACACTCCTGACTTGAAGCTTAAAATTGTCTCTAAATCTTCATTCCTTTGGTCATATTAAGCCTGGGTAGTGGGCAATTAGTTTCAGTAAAATCATATAAACACGTTGAAGCATGTTTGAGTTAGTTATATAATTCAAGTCAATTCAAGAATGACAAGTTATGAACCTAGTAATTAATTTACTACATCATTAAACATAAGGTTGGTCTTGATCTTGCTGTTTTTGACATGTTTTCCATTGTCCACTGAACAAACCATATTCTATATGGATCTTAACCAAAGGTCCAAGGTCTTACAAGGTTGGACCAGGTATTTACCATGATGCTTGGCGAATGGGTTTACTATTCAAATTCGTGAAGAAGGCAGAATTGGTCCAAGTTTTCACCATAATGCTTGGCCAAGGGTTTAGTACTATCCAAATTCATGAAAAAGCATAAGTATTCTGTGGGTCAATTTTTAAAATCAAAGATTATATTATATAATAAAAAATTATCTTAGTTCAAAGTTTATATCATATAAAGTAACATAATATGGCTATTAGATTGTTGGTAAGTTTTTCATGTAAATGATTATGTTTCTTGGTAAAATAACATCTAAAGATTATAAGACATATTAAAAAAAATAATATAAAATAAAAATTTAAGTATGAAAAGTTATCATTTTAAATTATAATTTAACGATTATGTTTTATGAAATGAATGATTGTGGTGATTATTGAAACAATATCTTTGTCCAAGAGTTGTGTCTTACAAAATATAAAACTATCTTTTAGACAAAGTAATGCCTTAATGAAAGGGTTGTCTTTGAAGAACATACACTTGCAAGCCTATATGAAGGGCTTGTTGTCCACCATTTTGACACACTAGATCAAGAGAGATAGAAGTGTTATGTTTTGAAAATAGACATAAATACTTAATTTCCCATCATCTATCAAAAGAATCTAAATTCTTTATAATCTATTTGCTATAAAAAGTAGGTTCTAAGGTTGAGCAACTTTGTAAGCCCTCAAATGTATCTAATAGTTTACGCTCGTAAAGTGTAAAGATGAAGTTAGATGTTGATTTCGTTGTATCCCTAAAACTATTTACATTATTCCCTTTTACATACTAAGTGGTGGGGACGAAATAAGTTTTAAAGATATCGTCTATTGAAAGGTTCATCTTGAAATCAATTTTACCAATTCCTTAAATTTCATTTAAATCCCATTTGCACCAACATATTCAACCATAATTCTATCTCTCCTGCATCAAGAATATAGAAAAAAGGGGAGATAAGATAGTGATTTTGCATTATATTTATTTCAAATAACATGGCATATATCCCTTGCTCTCAATCATAAATTATGTAATAACCTTGAAAGTTCTAGGAATTGCAGCTGAATCTGACTCATTCCCAAATTTCAGAGGTGATCAGGCAAAGTACAGCTTTGACCTTGGATGCCACATATCAGAAAAGATTTTCAATCCTCAGAATGATTACAAATTGTAGTTTCAATGTTAACAAGCACTGAAGTCAATCAGAATTATAAATTTTCATGGCAATAATTATGCTTTCAGAATTCAAGCAGTGGTTAGGCAAACAAGCTAGTGCTCCATTTAACCATGTCAAGATCAGTCATCTACTCATCAGCTACAGTGAGAGCAGTAGGTGAAAAATCTTCCAAATGGCATGATTATGCTATGATTATAAAATAAATTTATACTTTATGGAAAGCATTTCCTAACTATGCTCCAAACTTAGGTCCACCAAAAACCAATTATGCAAGAGTTTGGTTCCAAGTATTGAAAAAAAGGCTTTGTGTATATCATACCCTTCTTGGATTTCAACAATGTCAAACAAGTGTGGTACATAAACCTATGAAAGAAATTCTATACTCCCAATCTATCTTAATTTGGTCAGTCAAGTAGAAATCAAGGAGCAATCTCAAAATTTTCAATGTTATATTGGAAGTTAATCCTCTCAAGTTGGAAAAATCTTGAACGTAGTCATTGTCTTTTTGAACATTCTTGCTCATGGCAATTAAGATCATTTAACCAGCAGATATCATGGCTATAATTTCGTCTGATTTTTTTTTTTCATGATTTTCATTTTTTTCCTTCTTTTAATTCTTTGGCATTGCGTACCCCATTAATTAGTAGTTGCCATTCAACAATGAAAGTTGCTCATTGGAATTCAAGCAGCAGCACAATTCAGCAAGAGAATGATAGTTTAAAACAGTTATAATAAAGGCACCAAGGAGGCCTGTAGCCAGCTTGCCACCTTCCTGGCAGGTTCCTTAACCAAACCCTGGCGGCTTTGATGAGGCACCTACTCATCCATGGCTGCTGCCATAGAATTTTCTCCACTGTTTCGATAATCTTCTTCTTCAGACACGTGATGATCACTATATCTGCGTAGAGTGGTCAGATTCACAGTATCATATCATTAAAAGCATGCAAGAGAACTGGTTAGCAGTAAGCAAACTAATCAAAGTGACAATATTCAGTACTTGAGCTCAAAACTTAATTCAGTGCATCTGAAATTGGTTAATTGGTTTTGATAGTGAGAAATATGCCGTCGAAGAAAGCTAACTAAACATTAATATCATATTTTAAGATTTTAAAAGTTCAAATTGCAAATGTTTAGTCCCAGACTAGATGAAAATATGGTTGACAATATTGAACACATGGTCAGTGGTCTCCTCCATTTATTCTAGTCGATAAAAATACACAAATTCAATCCTGCAAGTACGTACGGGTTATTACCTTCTAGAGATAGCTAGTCCAAGATTGTGGATGATATATATAGAAAGCAAGAAATCAACATCTTTTGAGACAAAAACAAAGAACTCTAAAGGCTAGACCAAGTCTTATTGCTGTATAGACTGTAAGTTCGCTAGAAGGAGAGGGGAATTAGTTTGCATTATCCTAGTGTTAATAAACTCTCCTTTCCTTTCTTTCTTTCTTTCTTTTGTGTCTTTTACGTTTACAAAAGTAATAGAAAATTCAAACCCACTTTAACCTAAAAACCACCTGATTAGGTAAATGGTTACTCAATCATTTTAACTAGAAGGTTTTCACTCAACCCTTCATTAAAATTCAAACAAATTTTAGCAATTTCCACGAACCTTCAAAATAAACATTGGTTTCTTCAGTATTAAGATTTTATCGTATTTATCTATTTCAATCGTCTTTGTCTGGCTAAAATTATCGATTAGTTTCTTTTTAAATATATATGGTCATATATTCGCTTTTGAATTTTGATGATCAATTACATGCACATATTCTAATGCAATGAAAACGAGTCAAACTCGAACGTATCATTGACGGATTTATTATCGACGTGTATTGATTATGATCGAATATTTTCTCTATTTTTTATACTCTTAAATTCTTTAAAAAAAAAACTCTTGAATTATCTATAAATATAGTTTCTTCATAACCTTTTTTTTCTATCTTTTGAAAATTTGTAAACAAAACAAACAAGAATAACATTCAAACTTAACTTTTCCTGGATCTGTTCATATTCTATGATTAAACCCATTCTTCAT